ACATAATACCTGTAGGTAGAGAGAGAGTGTCTGCATATATATGTGTATCCACAAACACATAAATGCATTAGTGTATGTGTGTGTGCGTGCGTGTGTGTGTCTGGCAATATTGATAACTATTTTGATGTGAAAACTCACAATAGTAATCCTTATTGGCACTACGATTATTTTTTGTTGTAATTTTCTTATTCTTTACGAAATGGTTCTAAAGGTTTATTAAAAAATCAAAAAGGTCATTGATAGATTATTTAATATTCTAGCGCGCTTATAATTAGTTGGTATCGTAACAGGTTTGATTTATCTATATATGTGTACAAATACATCAACACAAATACATTTAGATGATGGCAAATATAATGTGCAAACAATTTTACTAACTAAATGATGATGAATATGTATATGGTTCTTCTGGTGAAATAAATATATATATATATATACAGTCATAATAATGGTTCAATCCCAATCCTATAATAATTTAAACATTAATTTTGAAAAGGAACAATTTTCTGAAGGTAGGATAGAATCGATACTGATCTCTGATTGTTATTTATTTTATTTATTTTTCTTATATCAGTGTACGATCTGAATTATTTATATGTTTCATTGGTCAGTGACTTTTGCTGACAAGTCATGTTTAAGTCATAACTGTTGTTTCTGTCAAAATCCTGTTATTTGGATGCTGTTGAGTTGCTTATATCGGTTTTTGCCTAATTCATTTCCTGAACCTGTTATGCAGTCTATTTAAAGCTGTGTCGTAGATTTAACAGGTGTTAGTTTTTTTTTTCTTCCATTGAGCTTCAACTCCTCCAAGCTTACTCACGTCTTTTCAACCTCGATTAATATTTCTGGAGTAAAGGTTCTATTAACGCGCAATTGGCAACCGTATCCATAAATCTTTCTCCAGCTCCGTGTCAAATTTCATGGAATTTTAAGGAATACCTGCGTAACGTTTCTTACGTACTGCAAGCGGTGTGACCTAATGAGAGGTTACATGTTGATAACAACTGGAAAGCCGTGAATGAAGGTGAAACTGAGGTGTTATGTTACCACTTTTCTATGGGTTCTGAAACGGTAGCGTTGAATGAAATACACTAAGGACACAATGGTGATGACAACATTAGCAGCTGATGTAACTACATGGATTGACCAGTCAGATATTCATGGTTAAATAATTTCCCATTTCACACACACGCACAGACAAACACCCACCCACACACACATCATGTCCTCGCTTAACAAAATGTAAACTAAGGACTGACAGAGCGAGAAGACCCTTTCTTATAGCAGAGGCGTTCGAGCAGCAGGAGGCCCGAGGCCAGAGCCGCGCCCGACCCAAGCAGCAGGAAGGCCGTCATGACGGTGGCGAGGCCGATGGCGTCGACGCTGCTGCTCTCGCACGACGCCCCTCGAGGCATCCACCTCCGGGACGACTTGACGACCAGACCCGACTCCGCCATCGCGATCATGCTGAAAGGGCGTCGCGAAGTGGACTCTAACCAAACACTACAGGCTATCCATGCTGCCTATGCTCACTTATGTGCACGATCTATGAGCCTCATATGCCAGCTGTATCAATTATACCGTCATCACAAAAGGCACTAAAGCAATGATCTCACTGGTGGTTGAAGACGGGGAACAGCGGGGAACCTCTGCGCATCGGCCAGGTCTTGGCGACGAGGAAGTAGTCGCCCGGAAGGATGTAGAAGCCGCAGTGGTAGAGCGTGCTTAAGAAAAAGATTTTGTTGCCCATATAAGCGTGGCGACCCTCCAGCACCTGTTTTTAACCGTCCTCCATCTTTTGAAGACTGTGCGGGTTGGGGACAATCATTTCGTTCCATATATCTCTGTTTCTCTGAATATGGGACATCTGAAAAGAAAACGTGACATGTAAACACACGGCCAGCAAGCCTTCATATGGGGTTTCCAATAGGAATTTCATCACAGATTTTTATTGGAACATGGATGCCTTTGCCACAGTTGAGGAGACACAGATAAAACACACACACGCAACACATAAACAGGCATACATATATATTAACACATGATATTTTCACCTTAAAGAAATCCTCCAGAGAGACCCGCCGCCGTGGAAACCGAACGTGTGGGTCTTCTTCTCGAACATCCCCTGGAGGTCTCTGAAGGGCAGGCTGACCTTGTTCACGGTCAGCGCCGATATCAGGAAGGACGTGTAAAACATGTAGACAAAACGCACGTCAAGTACAGCGTGATGAACAATATTCGGCTGGAGATGCTGCTGAAGACTGCGTCAGTCCTGAAAAAGAATATATATATGTATATATATATTGTTATATGTATATATATATATATATATGTATACTATATATACACACACACACATGTATATTTATATATCTGTATATCTATATCTATATATGTTTATTTATCTATCTATCGATCGATCGATCTGTCTGTCTGTATAGGCCAACAGATACTGTACAATATACACATTATTCACAAATTTTCTAGTATATAACCAGTCTGGCTCAAGGCGGCGATGGTGACCAGGACCGCATCCCCCGCAGACATGGCGGTCTCGTCGGGCGAAAGTCTCCCAAGGAAGGTCAGGACCACGGTCAGCGCCGCCAACACCGCGCACAGGACGAGCCACGACGAGGGCTGGAACTCCCTGAGGTAGCTGTTCCACGTGCTGCTGGATCCCTGGGGCCGCTTGATGACTATCACGTACCTGGCAGGGACGTCTGATGGTTTAGGAAAATCCCAGTTTTTACGTAGATTGAATCGGGTATCTAAAGCTGGATCGTCGGAATGATTGTAGTGAAGTATGGTACGTATTAACAGTTCTGTGTAAAATCAGAGAAATAATCTATAACGGTTTTATATCTAACGGTTTATATGCTCTTTGGAGGTACAATGCATGTGAACAGCTGGTATGCAATAGGCAGGATCATTACAATGGCGTTTTAAATATCAGAGGCGGAACTGAGAGATAAACACACACACACATAGAGAGAGAGAGAGAGAGAGAGAGAGAGAGAGAGAGAGAGAGAGAGAGAGAGAGAGAGAGAGAGAGAGAGAGAGAGAGAGAGAGAGAGAGAAATAGACGCTACCCTTCCAGCGACAGAGGATGTGGGTAGTCAACCACGAGGGAGCGAATGTACGTCTTGTCCAAGGGCGCCACCGCGACGTCCGCCTCGCCCTTCACCAGTTCCCCGATCATCCCCGTCCAGGAGCCGTTGCGAAGGGCGCCCCAGCCGCCGTCAGGAGGTCGCGTGCACCGCTCTCTGGAGGGCGATTGAAGAATAATGAGTCAGACAGTTCGCTATGAAAAAAAATTAAAGGAGAGGATTTAATCATGATCTACAAATGTGAGAAAGCATCTAAACATGGATTTTGTTTTCCCTCTTCAAATAAAAGTAATAAGAATAATCTCAATTCATTTTTATACTCTCTTTTTCAGTACTCCATCGTTAAATGCCGGTTTCTGTTATGGCAACTCATAATAAATAGCTTTGCCACTGACACTGACATAACATATCATTTCGTGCAAGAGGAGACCTGGCGTCCTCACGTGAAATTCAGGACGCCTCTCACAGTGTCCCAAAGGTCGCCGTAGAAGCCCGTGATCTTGACGCCGCCGTCGGGGTTGTCCTGCACGTAGGTGTGGGGGGCGCCCTGGGGGGGATTCAGGCACTCGAGCGTTTGCATGACCACGTGTGGAGAGAGAGAATGAAAGGCTTGGTATACACGAAGCTGTATGAAATATGCAACTGTCTTTGGTCGGGGAAGCAATATAATGTATATAATATATATATATATATATATTATATATCATATATGTATATATATAATATATATAATATATATATAATAATATATATATATTATATATACATATAGTATATTTATATATGTGCTGGCGTAGCGGTTAGTGTGTTCGTACTAGCAATCTTGCAGACCTGCGTTCAATCCCGCGCGGCGGCCAGTGGATGGCAACCTCGGTCATTCTTGCACATGGGAGGTTTGGAAGCAAAATAAAACAGACAGTCTGTCACAGTAAGAATATTTCCATTGTAGCAATAATGGAATTTAAATCTGTAACATTTATAATTTATATATATATATATATATATTTAATATATATATATACATATATATATATATATATAATATAATATATATATATATATTATATATATATACATATTAATATATATATATATATATATCTATATATGTATATATATATATACTATAGATATATACCTGTATATAGTATATAGTATATACCTATATATAAGTATAATATATAATATAGTATATATACATACATATATATACATAATACATATATATGTATTGTATATAATATATATATATATGTATGTATTGTTGTATACTTACGGAGGCAGGGGCGGTGCAACCTGACCACAGAGCCCGTGAGGTTGGTCCTCCTCGCCCACGGCTCCCGCGGGAGCCAGAGCGACGCCCCGCGCGCCCCGTCGCCTCCTCCTCCGCGCCCCGGCAGACCGGCTGCGGACGTCGCGCTCCCTGGGCAGTCGGGGCAAAGGAGGTCACGGAGGGGCCAGCGCCTCTACAACAGAGATCGCTGCGGCAGGTGAGGCGCCGGCTGGTAACGTCCAGAAGGCGCACTCGCGCCCGGACGCAGGCTGGAGACCTCGGCCACGACAGCCTGAAAACGTTTTTTTTTCTTATTATTATTATTATTTTTTTTATAGGATGCATAGATGTATACACATTAATGCACGCGTGAGGTCATCATGACACGACGGTATTCAATAATCAGCATAAAGCAGGTTGAGTTGGCAGCACCGTGTTTTAGCGACAGGAACCTAAAATGCTCCGCCAGACGCACTTCCTCCATCCACCACCATATTATAAGAGGGAAGTCGAAAGCCGAGGCGAGGCCAGCAGGGGGGCAAAGCGCACAGGAGCAGCCAGTGAAGGCCCGCAAATGGCTCTCTCGTGCAGCACCTGGTTTAACATAGAACTGTCATGATTTACAAACAACTCCGACCCACCCCCCACCCCGCCCACCTCCCAAATCAGTTCCTAATTGTGGGCTAAGTGAATGAGAGAAGCGTACAGCAATCGTAGCTTTATTTTTGGTTTTCCACCCAAGGTGCTCGAACCCCTGGGGTGTGAGAATAGCATTCAAAGGGTGCGAGAAAACAAGCATTTAATTAATTATTACTCATAATCAATAAACGGGAAGAAAAGAGCCATTGAATTGAAAATTCATTCATATAAACGTTTTAAAATTAGTTTTTTATTTTTACACGTATATATTTCAAGCAAGTGTAGGGTTTATTCAAATAATCTTAGACATGTTTTCTTGTCCATATGTTTGATTTTTGTTAACATATTAGAATAGGAAAAGAATATTTTTTCTTTTCTTGATCATATTTAGTACAAATTCACCTCCTTTATCCTCAAATAAGCTATAAATTTAAAGGAGGTGCCAGGACACGGTAAAATTTTCTTAGGGGTGCGGGCGTAAAAACGGTTGGGAACCACTGTCTTATATGATGGTTCACGAAAGCTATTTCAGTCCACGCTTCGAACGATACAAAATACTCTTTGTACTTACTCAAAACCTGGAAATCAGATCGGTCAGAACGGGTTCTCACTGGGACCTTTTCCGCTTCGTCCGCTTCGCCGTCGGGCCTCGTTGGAAAGGTCAGCCAGGGAACTGAGGGAAGCAAAGGCCTTCTTCTGCGCCCTCAGGAAGCGGCGATAACTTAGGGACCACCATCGTTCCCAGAGGACGCTGGTGTTGTCTGTGAGGAGACAGGAAGTGGGTGTCAGACGAATTGGTAATAGACAGGGTATAAACTACTGGATTCACTTGTTAAAATCGTTTGCTACTCATTCATACATTATGATTACGAACCTGTACATCATATATATATTATTGTATCTGTATCTATGTGTATCTTTACACACACACACACACACCCGCACATTCACACAC